CAGTACAGCTTATATCCTTATGTGACACTGAAAGACCAGTGTTTTCATTGACTTACAGATTTGTTATATCTGAATTTATCAATAAGAACAGGAGCCTCTAGCAGTGACTCTTCGTATGATTTGCTATCGAGAAATGTAATGAATTATTATGAATTCACCTTTGCATGATGTGACAATATGCTCTTTGGTGGGTTTTTATAATGTTACTAAGATGCCTCTCCCCCCCCCACCCCCCTTTTTTTCTTTCTATATGTATCCTGCATTTTTGTTGTTGATGCTCACATGTTCAACTTTTTAGCGGACTCTTGATATTATTTGATCTTTAGTATTCCACTAACGTGTAACTATACTGTGGGGTCATAATTCTCAAGATCTTGGTAATTTTCCGCAATGTGGAGTTGGACCGTCACAAATTCACTTAAATCAGGTCACGTTACAAATACGATATGTATATAAACAAAAAGGTCTCTGTCATTCATTGAGTATAAATAAAACAGACAAAGAAGCCCCATGAAACTTTTTTTTCTCTCTGAACTGTGTCATTTGCCTATATTTAATTGTTTATCGGTGGAACATCGAAACATGGCATATGCAACGAAAGTTATTATAATACACATTTATACTTCGAATTGCCTTCTTTTTCCAACAATGTTCTTTCATTGAAACTTCTTCCCATTAAAATGAGTAAAGGGAATATCAAGATTCATTAGACCTGAGTTTTTTAAAACAGCAAGCAGTATTATAAGATTGTGTTGCTGTAGTTTCGTTATTTTGTTTTTTTCTGATAACCTGTATCCACATTATGCTTCCTCATATGCAATTAACATTGATCATTCAGCGCCACCGTAGTAATGGTATTACAAACTATTATCATACTAATGTCAACATCAAAAGTATCCTTCTTATATAGTGTGTCTGCGAATAGTGGCAACTGATTTATCCATTAATATCATTGGTTAAAACTAGTGAATTGCAGTTATCCAATTTTTCAATCCGATGAAAATTGCTTTCCCTTATTATACAAAAGGTGAAATGTTAATTATTCACGAAACCCGAGGACAATGAGATAAAAAATGCTTTCCCTCATGATACAACAGGCATTATGTTAATCATTCACGAAGCTCTAGCATTTGCACATTTCCCTTTTGTGTTTTAACAGAAAAAAAAACACTCAAAAACCAAATGAGACAACCACAATTTCGACGATCTACCTCACGTATAACGAACTTCCATATGGGTCCCCACTAAAAAAAAAAAGGCTAAAGCTATGCTGACAACGTTGCTCATATCATATTATTAATATTCTTGACTGATATTCCAATCCAATGTTTCTCAACCGCTTGTCTCTGCAAAAATAGAAGTTTAGTGCCCGCAAAACGTTTAATTACTCACATGGAGGCTGGATTTACTCTCTCATTCATTTAATGGTAAAGTCAATTGCAGACTTTTCTAGTGAGATGAAATTGGGAAGACGAGTTTCCTTTTTTGTTGCTTTTTGTTTTTTGTTTTGTAAAATTGGTTTGTTGAGTTGACAATTCTTTGAAAAACAGGGATCTGTGTGAAACTGAATTTGGATCAAGATGTAGGCCTAAGGAATGGGACAACTGGCCGCGGGAAACGGGCGTATATGGAACTATCTTTATGGAGTACTTAATGGAATAAGATTATAAAAAAAAATCTTTATGCTTTTATTGATTAAAAAAACAAGAAGAAACTACATGAAAAGTTATGTATAATAAGTATTATTGGTAAAAATTGTTTCAATGTGTCTTTATTGATTTAAAAAACAAGAAGCAACATCAGAAATTTATGAAAAGTTATGAGAATTCCTGAGATATTCAACAACATTGACTCTCAGATGTTCTTACAATTGCTTTAATTCTTTCATCTGTTTGCCTGTATTTCTTCAACTTGACTGGTGGCTCTTGCCCTGCGATCAGCTGTTCGTAATATAGGTCTCTTCCACGTTGCACTTTTTTCAAACCATCAATAAATTTCCAAACAGTAGGATGTTGCATTCCAAGTTCATGTTGCAGTCTGCGATGAGCAGCTTCTGCGTGACTGTTTGCTCTATCTTCGTCATTTAGGTTAGGTTAAGTTAGGTTAGGTTAGGTTGGGTTGGGTTGGGTTGGGTTGGGTTAGGCTAGGCTAGGCTTGCTAGGTAGGCTAGGCTAGGCTAGGCTAGGTTACGTTACGTTACGTGGTAATGTTAGGTTGGTTAGGTTAGGTTAGGCTGGGCTGGGCTGGGTTGGGTTAGGTTATGTTGGTTAGATTAGGTTAGGTTAGTTTAGGTAGGTTAGATTAGGTTTGGTTTGGTTTGGTTAGGTTAGGTTACGCTGGTTAGGTTAGGTGCCAGTTTCCGCAGCCAGTTGTCCTAGACGCGTAGGCCTAGTATGTGTTAGAAAGGTTAAGAACTGTCCCATACCGTCATCCTATTCCCTACTGCGAGACTTTTGGTGAATGACAATCCATTTGCAGTTGGTAACTACATGGAATGTAGTGTATCCGATGTCAGATTTCACATCATCACATGGCTCGTTACTCTACAACGGAAATAAATCAAGGTCTTGCTCACGCATGCGCGCATTTTGTGTGTGTGTGTGTGTGTGTGTGTGTGTGTGTGTGTGTGTGTGTGTGTGTGTGTGTGTGTGTGTGTGTGTGTGTGTGTGTGTGTGTGTGTCTGTGAAATAGTTCTTATCAATTTCGACGCTATTGCTCATTAATTTCCCTCAGCCCTTATGGCAACACGCAATCATCTTTTTTAAATATCCAAGGCATTCAAAAAATAGCATTAGAGCGTATATATACATTTGTCATCGATTCTAATTCACCGGCGAGAGGCTCAGATTTCACAAATATTGGAGGGGAGAAATCTATTTATGGATCAACTGTTGAATATTGCGAATCATCCAAGATGAAATAGCAATAAACTCATACGTCCCTCTCTTTATTCATTTACTCTATCCATCATATATATATATATATGCGCCTCTCTGCTCTCTGACGTCCCTCTCTCTCCCTCTCTCAGCTCTATATCTCTTTCTATTTCCCTCATCCCTAAGGTGAACTTCCTATATCTATTTCTTTTTCTCTCCTCTCTCTCTAAATATATTTCTCTTTCTCTGTCCCTCTTACTTTTTCTCTCTGTCCCCCTCTCTCTCTTTGTCCATCTTTGAGTATCTCTTAGTCTCTCTTTGTCTTTCTCATCCACTCCTTTCTTTTCCTCCTTCCCCGCTCTCACAGATTCTTAAGGTTGGAATTTGTTATTCCCTTGAAAAAATATACATATCTCACGTCCTACTTGTTCTTGTCTATAACCCCTCTCTTATCTTTTGTCATCATCCGCTGACATTTTGTAAGCGACTTGCCGGCTCTGTGTATTTAGAGTTGTCTGTCTGTCAGTCTGTCTGTTTAATTGTCTGTTTGTATGTATGGTTACGTCTGTATATCTGCCCATCTATTTGTGCGTTTGTCTGTCTTATTTGTCTGCCCCCTACTCTCTCTCTCTCTCTCTCTCTCATCTCTCTCTCTCTCTCTCTCTCTCTTCTCTCTCTCTCTCTCTCTCTCTCTCTCTCTCTCTCTCTCTCTCTCCTTCTCCTCCTCCTCTCTCAATCTCCCTCTCCTTCTCGCATCCCCCTCACTCTCCCTCACCCTCTCTCCCTTTCCTTCTCACCCTCATCCTCTCCCTCTCCCTCAACATATTATCCTTCCAGCCCACCCGTACTCCTATACCCGGTATGAAATATAGAATTTAAAAATCAAAAACTTTCACTCACACACCCTTTGAAAAAAAAAACAAGTAACAAAATCCAACCCCTCTAATCCGGCTCACTTTCCACCAGTCACGTACGCCCAGTAAAAAGGAAATATAAAAAGAGAGGAATAAGAACTACATACAAAAAAGGAGCGGCAAATTACATCCTGTTTCTGTATTCCAAGAGTCCAAACCCACGTACATTCGACGAGATCTGAGTGTGTGCTGGAGAAGAGGGAGAAGTGTGAGGAATTTCTTGTCAATATTACGTGTATATTGAGATATATTAGTTGTTTTATATGTTGAATTGAACTATTGACTATTTTTCTTGTGTTCGTGTTGATATCCGTGTTGAGAAATGTCAGATTTCTTTGTTTATTTGATTATTGTTTGATGTTTTAGTGTAAATACCGTGTTGATTAGACGTATCGGTGTATCATGAGGTGTGATTGGAGGTGATTGCTCGATTAGGTGTGATTGGGACGTGGATTGCGATGAGAAATGCAAAAGACGGTTTTGACGTGTATTTTACGGTGTAGGTTAAAGATAGTGTGTTTATTGAGGTGGGGGGGATTTTATAGATTTTCTTGTAAGAGGTGCTCAGGTAGTACTAGTTGGTATACAGGGAAATGTTGGTGTTGATATGATTTTTTTTTTCTTTTCCTTGTTTCAGTCAAGGTTAAAAGAGATTTTATTCTCATAAAAATGTGTTATATGCTGTAATTTATCACATTATTAAAACATAATTAAGATGTGTTTATACGTGTAGCATAAATTACCAATACAAGGTATTGGGAACAACAGGTCTGCTCAAAAATAAAAATAGTTAAGAATAGTGGGTAATTGTTCAGAATAGGACATACCAAGTGATCTGAGTAACCTTTGTGGTCTGCCATCTGGCAAAGACCAACAAATCTCTGACACACATAATCTTTACTCTGTGAGAGAATAATTTTTTTAAATATTTGATTACATTTAATCCTTAATTTTTAATGACTGGCTGGCATTTTGGTATCTTCATAAGGCAATAATCGTAAATTTTCCGAGCCTTTATTCCAGCATTTTTTGGACAGTTACCAAATACAGTAAAGTCTTATAGAGAAAACAAAATTATTCACACTGAAATGAATTTGTTTGCATAAGGAAAAATTAATGGTGCAGTCACAAGTGAAAATTAGCATCAATCAAGTATTATATGTTACTGTTCTATGACCATCACCCCATAAAAAGAGAGTATGTGAGTGCGTGCGTGAGTGTGTGTGCGTGTGTGCGTGTGTGTATGTGTGTGTGTGTGTGTGTGTGTGTGTGTGTGTTGTGTGTGTGTGTGTGTGTGTGTGTGTGTGTGTGTGTGTGTGTGTGTGTGTGTGTGTGTGTGTGTGTGTGTGTGTGTGTGTGTAGGCTAGAAAAAAATGCATGTAATTTTGTGTATGATTTTATATTTATATTACAATATTATGTAACTTTTCTTTTTCAGATTTTCAGATTGTAAAGACTTTATGAAAAGAAGTTAGAGATATGTTTAAAAAACTTCTTTGTTTATTTTTAATCATAATGTTGTGGATGTCTGGCATGTAAGTATTAATTGATTTTTGAGTTTTTAAAAGTTGAGATATGTGAATTTGTTGAAAAAATATTTTTGTCTCGTAATTTGTATATCAACAGGACCTGCCAGGAATCATGGCTTTTTTCTTTCACTCTCTCTCCTCTCCCTCCTCTTCCTTCTCTTCTTCTCTTCCTCTTCCTCTTCCTCCTCTCCTCCACTTCATCCTCCTCCTCCTTCTTCCCCTTTAATTCCTATTTCCCTTCCTCTGCCTTGTCTTCCTCTTCCTCCCGTTGTCTTTCTCTTCCTCTGCCTTATCTTTCTTCCTCTTTCTCCTTGTCTTCCTCTTCCTTCTCTTGGCTTCCTTTTCTCTCCATGTCTTCCTCTTCCTTCTTCTTGGCTTCCTTTTCCTCTCCATGTCTTCCTCTTTCTCTTTCTTATTCTGGGCTTCCTCTTCCTCCTGCTTGTCTTCTCCTCTACATTCTTTTTTTCTCTTCCTCCTCCTCCTCTTCCTCCTCCTTCTCTCCTCCTCCTCCTCCTCCTCCTCCTCCTCCTCCTCCTCCTCCTCCTCCTCCTCTCTCTCTTTCATATTCTTTGTCTGTCTCCATGTCTCATTTTCCCATTCTATAAATCCATTTCTCTTTTTCCTTATCACCTAATGGCCCTCGCTAACCTACCTTCTCTTGTCATACAGCGATGTGAAAACAGTGCTTATAGGAGCCACTTCATCAGTATTTGTGGTGTACGTTGTAGTTCCGTTGGTCTGGCACTATTCTATTTCCTTGCAACGGCAGCTCATCTTTCTTAATTATTGTAAGTATTAATGAGGCTTTATGTTACCTTTATGGTATGTAAGGACTAAAAAATAAAGTTAATTGAAAAAAATAATGATGATGATAATGAAAATAAATAATTATGATAATGATGATTAATAAAGAATAATAAAAAATAATAATAATAGTAATAATAATAACACTGATATGGAAGTAATATACTCTGTGATTTCTGATCTTAGAAAGAGTTTTGACTTAGCTATGATAATATCTTTGTAAAGCTTACTTGAAATGTGGTTCTGCACCTCACTAATTTAATAAATCCATGTACATCTTATATGCTGTTTTGTAATATTTGTAGCATGCTTGTCTGTACATTCCTTTATTCTTCTTGTCTAAATATTGTGTACAGTATTTACCTAATTGTTATTTTTGGTTCTTTAACAGTGAGGCTACCATTATTTTTTGATCCTGAACAGCCGGAAAAGAAAGGTCTGCCTGGAACAAGAAATTTTTTCTTGGAAACAGACAAGAATGTCAAAGTAGGGGTATGGTAGGTATGAGGAGTTTTGTTCAAAATTATAACTTATGGTGAAGATATAACAAGTAGTAATCACTAGTTAGCAACTTTGTGCATCTTGGAACATTTTTCAGGCACATTTTACCACAGTCGTTAGTCTCCTCTGCTCCAAAGAAGGGAACCCCAGACTACACACAGTGGTTTGAAAAAAGTTTGGGTGATAGCAGGCCTGTTGTCCTGTACCTCCATGGCAATGCTGGAACCCGGGCTGTACCTCATCGTGTGGAACTCTACGATATACTGAGAAAGATGGATTACCATATTATTGCATTTGATTATAGAGGTAAGATGGAATAATCTCCTAGTATGTAGTAGTCATTTTCCAATATATATAGATAAGTCAGAGGGACTTCTGATGCTGATTTCAAAAGTTTTAAATTTTTTTGTGCTTGTTCATGCAGAAATTAATAATATCTACCCATTTTTGCCTACTTGTGATTTAAGTACTCAACTTAATCTTTTGACAGTAGGATTTGTTTGTATCCTTTGTCTTTTACAACTTTTTTAAAGAATTTAAACTTGTTAAACAGGATATGCCGACTCCAGCTCAGTTCGTGTCAGTGAGAACGGGGTTGTTCAAGATGCAAAGGCTGTATACAGGTACCTGAAGGAGAAAGTAGGGTCCTCGCCTCTCTTTCTTTGGGGACACTCCCTAGGGACAGGGTAAGATATTCATTCACCAACCCAGTGATTTTGATTTATATTAGTATCTATTTTGACTCTTGCTTCCAAGTTTATATATATCATTATGAATCTGTAAAGAAATGACATGGTTGAACTTTCGTAGGATTTCAACACATGCTCTAAGGGACCTGTGCTTAGATGGGGAACGGCCTTCAGGTCTTGTGCTCGAATCGCCTTTCAACAATATGAAGGAGGAAGTCAAGCTTTGTTTCCTGACTGCAGTAAGTTCATTATTAGTTAAGCAATGAATTTTCAAGTGTTATTTTGAATATTACAGTTTGTATGAAGCATACCTATGATTTTTGTATAATGTAGATTAAATCATGTAGGATACCATTGTACTGGATACAGAATTGTTTTCAGTATTAGGTGATTGTATTTGATAGATTAATTATTATGACATCAATCAGTGTGATTCAACTGTCACAAGCTATAAACTTTTGAAATGGATTGTATTTCCTTCCAGATATTCCGCAGAATGCCAAAGTTTGATTGGCTTTTCTTGAGTCGTTTAGCTGAAGTTGGTGCAGCATTCCGGACAGATGAACACATTGCATATGTGAATGCACCAGTATTGATACTGCATGCCTTAAATGATTGCATGGTACCTTTCGAGCTGGGTCAGAAGGTTAGTTTTCAGTATCTTAATATTTGATTACAGGATCTGATAATGGACATACAGTGTTAGTTGATTTAAAATCTACCAAGTTTCTCTATCATACAAAAGTAAATTCTACTAGCATTAGAGTTCCTATAGTAGATAATACTTTTCCAGCTGTTTAAGACTGCCAAAGGGGTGCGACCGCAGACTCTGCCACCTGTAAAATTTGTAGAATTTGATGCCAAGTATGGCCATGACTACATTTGTCGAGCCCCTGACCTGCCACAGATTATTAGGTAAGAAATGTGATGCCATCCATGTTTTATGTATTTCTTATCTTTATTTAGAAAAATTAATTTGATAGTAGATGAAAATGATGAAATGGCATATTCTTAGAGATACATGAGGGAAGGTGGAATGTGGAAGACAGATGATGGAATGTCTGAGAAAAAGTTGCATGAACCACATTAATCCACAGTTAAACAGGAACTTTATTGTAGAGATATTTGAGTCTGGTTGCATAGAGTATAATTCCTTTGAACTGTTGAGTAAAACAGCATTGTAATAAACAATAAAAAGTTGAATGCAGCAGCTGTTAGTAAGCCTTCAATTTGACTGACAGATTTTAAAAAGGGGTGTCTATTTGCCCCTAAAAGCTTCATTTACTATGATGTTGGCTCTCTACATCTCATACATGGAGCCCTGTTAACCACACTGTTGAGATGTGTTTCGAGTCATCCATGAAAGATGGTAGTATCTGGCAATTTCTTCCAGCCACACCAATCATATTGTCCCATTTTCTTTCTGTTGTGAATGGAGCATAGTGTAGAGTAGTAATTTTGGTACTATATCTTCACCCAGCCAAATTTCCGCATCTTTTTCCTTCCCATTCTTGTATGCCCTCATCTGTAAAATGACATACATCTCATGGTTTCTTATTCTTAATGTTTTATTGTGTTATATAATATGCTCAAGTTTTATCAGGGAAATTACTTTTATTGTTTGGTGAAAGTAAAGGAAATATATATACACACAAGTCTTTTTAACAGTGAAGGGACAATCCTTAGCCTCAGATCCTTATGAAATGAGCATATTTGGAGGCACAGATGCTAAATGTGTGCATGGAAATAGTTTAGATGTAGAAGTGGTTTAAGGTAAAATATGAGAATCACTGAACTCTGCTTAAAGGATGTGTTCAACCTCAGTTGTTTGCCACTCTCATTTTCTTTCTTTATTATAATCATCCTGAACTGTTTAAAAATTGACAATGAAAGGGACACTCTTAAAAAAATCACTTATGTAGTAGAGTATTTTATTTATTAAGTTACTGCTGAGAGGGATGTATGCACATAAACCAAAATCACTGAGTTTGGTTTATTAATTCTATTTATACATAGATAGCTCCACAAATGCCTAGTCATCTATGAGTCAATTAAAAGTCCAACCTATAACACTTGTTACTCTTTTCTTTGATTTGTCAATTTTTTATTATTATTATTATTATTATTATTATTATTATTGTTAATAACAATGCAATAAGTATAATGTCAATAACAATAATAGCAGCATCGATATTAATTAGAAAGAAAAATCCTCCAAAAACAAGAAAATCAGGTGAAGTCATGCAGACTGCTTAATTGACTTCTTGGTAGCTTAACATTTGTGGAGTTATCTATGTGTAAATACATTTCACAAACTACTACAGGGAGCTGTAATGTCAACCCCCTCTGTACAGGGATGTCATGACATACATATCATCTCCACTTTGATTTTATTTTTTTAATTGCCTTTACACTTTGATTGGACCACAAGCGCTTGGTCACTAACGAATCAATTACCAAGGATACTTCTTTCTTTACTTGATCTTGAGTAAGATTCTTTTTTAAATTTGTATTACTGTAAGTGTTTTGATAACATTATGATGATTGTAATAGCAATAATGATAAAAACAGATCATAACAATAGCATTAGAAGAAAAATCCGAAAGTTCAAGGAATGGGGAAATTCGATGAGGTAATGTCATGTCTGCTGACTTGGTTGTGGCTGAATATTTGTGGAGCCATCTGTGTGTAGCAAGTCATAGAGGACAGTACATGTACCTGCATACAAAGAGTTTTTTTAAATTAAAAATCATTATAACTGATTGATCTCTGATTTCTTAATTTGCAGGGAGTTCTTTAGAGATGCAGAAGGGAAGAAGTAATGCTCAAGGTCACATCCAGACTGGTAAGATAATAACTACCAAAGATAGATATTATACATCACAAAATGTATTTAAAACCAGATGAAGGTTTATGTATTAGAATTTATTTATATGTGCGCGTATTGATGGGTGTGTGCGTGCAAGGGTGTTTATGGTACCCTTGCCAGGAAGATTGAAATCAGTTTTAAAAAGTATTCGAATATAAGATGAGACATTCCAATAGGTACTTGTTGCCTATACGGTGTGAATGTAAGCAATATACATTGTTACATCATGATGTCATTCAGAATAAGTATTATATTATACTGGCATAAATGTGCATTTTTTTTGGGGGGGGGAGGCTCTCAATAGTTCTTTGATATCTCTCCTGTATGTTTTTTTTTCTTTCTTTCTTTCTTTTTTTGTACAATTTCTGTTCATAGTGGAATCTTGCCATGTCATTACATAATGTGTATGATATTTCATGTTAGAGCAGGATTTTAGAGAATTTTTTTCACATTATTCCAAACTCATTCACATTTCTAGTAGTATCTAAGCATACTGCACTATCTTCAATCAAAGAATATATTATTTTCTTTGTATCTATTCAATGTGATCGAATTTTTAATTTTGGTGATTAAGAAGCAATAAAATCATCATGAACGGTTTGAAGTAGGAGAAAACTGCGGAGATTGATGGTCCAGGATGAAGGGAAAGGGATGGGAAGTGGTCAGGATGAGCCACTCGTTGATTCCTGATGGGAACAATCTGCATGTTAATTTTAGTGGTTTCCTTCAGATAAACTCTTCTTTTTTTTTCTTTTTTTCCTTTTTCCTTTTTTTTTTTTCTTTCATTTTACTCTTTTCTCTATTTTTTTTTCTCTCTTTTCTCTCCTCTCTTCTCTCTTTTCCTTTCTTTCAAATGATGCTTACTCCCTTAATAATATATATTTTTTTTATTATTGTGTTCTTGGTACTTCATGGATTGCATCAGACTGGGATTGTCAAATTATAATTTTTTTTTTTTTCTTCATTTAGTTATATGCAAAAATGTTATAATTTTGAAGTGATTTTCTTAACCAAATCTTGCATATTCATGAAACCTTCTTCAAGTTAGACCAAAGTCATCATTCTATATATGAAGTTTTTGAGTTATCACTACTTGAAAGTGCAAAACCTTAAGGGGACCGTCCCTGAAAATGGCCACCTTTCCCTACTCTATATATACATCAAAAAAAATATCGGTTAGAGATAACTGATTGATTCTTTTTGCATGCTATAGAGTAAAGAATTGCGCTCCGTTATATATATAAATTTTAACTTTGCTCCCCCATTGGGGGGGGCACCCCCCAAAAAGTCGAAATTTTTTTTTTTTTTTGGTATGTCTTCGGTACATCCCAACTATCAGAGCTCTTTACAGAATATTCCCCCAAAAATACTAGTGTTAGATCAACTATAGCCTATAGCCATGTAAAAGGCCGAATTTTGAATTTCCTTTTTTTTTTTGGCGGGGGACAGCTTGACATAAAAAATACTCTTTTATTTCTTTTTCAGCATTAAAATATTATTATTTTTTGATAAAGGCAAAAATTAAAAAATCGGCCTTTTACATGGCCATAGGACGCCGAGGCTCTAGTGAAAGCAACAAACTCCATTTTGGATCGCCGAAGATTCATAAAAAATGACGGAGCTTTTGTATTTTTGCCAAAGTTCGCTGAATCCAAAAAAATGCTTATTTAGTTTACTTTGCTGTCCATGTTCGGACGCTATCATTCTCAAGTGATGGCAATTTAGGAAATTGACGATGGTCACCGAGATTCATAAAGTTAAAAAGATTATTCATCATCATTTAGTAGGCCTACATTGACTTTCATATCTAAATAATAAAATATATTAGTTATCCCTCTCATACCATTTTCTTTGATAATTGTCAATATTAACAGATTGCAAAGGAGAACAAGTGTAAAGTTTATGATTAGCCATTTGCACCCATTATCTTTACTAAGAAGTGCATAAAATCATGCAGACGCCTAGGTGTTGTGGGATATTTGCCAATTTATGGTGCCTAAGACTTACGGTAACGTCTAAACATATTCATTTTTATCGGGAACGCACGAAACGGATGCAATAGCTTTTTGACCGCCAGACGAAGACTACGCATACAACCGAGCTCAAAATTCCATATAGTTTTTATTTCAGAGCAGGTATTACTGAGACTATCATCTTCAACATGAAATAATCTGTATCTCGCTTATACATCCGAAGTTTAAAAATCTGACATTTAGGTAACATTCGTATTGAATTGGTCTTTACAACGGTAACTACCAATTTCAAATCAATTCAAATTGCCCCCTGCTGTGATGTACCGACCATTGAGCGAAATGTAACGGAAATATTTCAATCCTTCCTTGTGCTTCGTATGTGATATACGTATATATTACCACGTAAACTAAAACAGATTACCAGGGAGTCTCGATCAAAGCATATTTCGTGTGTAAAAGGACACAAAACATACATTTTTTTTTAGATATATTTCACAAAATATTTCGTCATAAATCACGGTGATATAATTTTTTCCTGATATTGGTATAAAAGTGTTCCTTGAACATTCACGAACTCATATCTATGCGCAATCTCATAATTAAATGCCTTATGCACGATTGCCGCAAGCAAAAGTCCACATAGGTGTACCTGGGCGCTCATTAGCGACGTACCTCTCCGGGTGCTGAGGGACTCGCACGCCGGCTGCAAGACAACGAGCCATAGCAGGCGGTTAATACTCGTTTGGTAGTTTCCTCATCCATGTACCTATACTATACGCTAAGTATCTTAATTTAACCCCCTCCCCCCCCTCTCTCAGGGACGGTCCCCTTAAATACAATTTACGTGAAAGTAGGTCAGTGATGTGTGTGCTGGTTTCTCCAGGGGGAACCTCGTACAATTGTTTTGTTTCTGTCTATATGGATATTGCAAAAAAAAGTAAGTGCTACTGACCAAGTGTAAGTCACTTAGATGTGCAAAGTGCAGTTTTTTTTATACAAAGATACGTATTTTGTAATGTGTTTGAGCCAGGGAAAGGTTGTATATGCATAATAGTATTGCATAAGTTATAGTACTCTAAATTAATTTGTGTATTGTAAAGTTTATAATACTTAAAAGTGTTATTTTTCTTATTGTTGTATTATGTATATTTTTCCAAGATAATTTAACTTTTAGTTTGTGTATATATATGTATCATGATTGAGATTGTAAATAGATGGTAGTGGTAATGATTTTAATAATAACAATAATAACAATAATAATAGCAATAGTAATGGTATTAGTAATATAATAAGAATATGATCATAATGTAATAGGTAATGTACAAAAAAATTAGAATGAGAACAAATAGTTTAAAGTTGTGATTAATTTCTTGAGCTTTTGTATGAATATTTTTTATATTGAAAAAGGCCACAAATTCTGTCTATTTGTGTTACATTTGCAATGCAAGTTATTTAATTTCAGAATACCTCCAATTGCCATCTATTGCTAATGGTTGAATGCAGAATGCAGTCATTTACGGTTGCTTTAAGATTAATAATTACCCTACTATAAATGTGATATGCTGCATTCCAGTTTAAATAGATAAAGATTATTAGATATTGTTGTGCTCTTTTTCCTACACCTCTCGAACATTTTCATCCCTCTCAGTTTTAACTCTTACATGCCACAGTGTTCATCCTTTGATATTGATTTCAGAAAAGAAAAAACTTTTGTGAATACAATTAGTTACTTGAAAGATTATTTCCATATCTTACGAGGATAAAAAATACCAATGTAATAAATCACTCTTTAATAATATTTACAACATCTGAGACACATAACAAGTACTCAAAGACATCTTGGCACCAAAAAGCCCCATAGAAAAGACATTACAATACACAAACAAACTGCAAGCCTTTAATTCTATCCCTGGAGAAATTACAAATCTTACATACATGATTATTGCTATGAAATTCTAGTGGAACATACAGGTCTCCTTCACCTCAAGTGTCTCCTTACAAAGAGGAATCCAAAGTAGTATTAACTAACATAGCATGTAGTTTTAAAAAGACATTATGATGATTGTAACAGTACAGGAAATCAAGGTGAGAGGAAAATTCCACTGAAATATCCCTTTTGGAACTAGTAAATATATTTATTTTACTGTTTTTTTCTTATTGTCAACAAAGACTGCCAAAATGATCCTATAAACAAGTACTATGAAGTCCTTCCTCATCCCCTACAGAACATTTTCAATGTTTCCGTTACTAATATTCTAAATTCGTTGCATTCACAGTAACTAGAATGAGGGAAAGAGGAAATGTATCCTTGTAATCCACATCACAATGAAAATCCATTCTCATAAATGTAAACAATCAAATTCCTAATATATGGCATTGTTGAGTAAATATGTCCAGGAACAATTAACTGTGTTGCCTAAAAGACTGTAAGCACTTAGCCTACAGTCTTAATGGTAATGTCTACAGCTTGCTTTTTGGAACTGAATATGAGCAATATATATATGATTCCTGCTATAGTAAGTGAAAAAGTTACTTGTTTTCCTTACTATCTCCACTGAATATTTTGATATAACCTTTACTTCCAACACTATATTACTCTCCCATACTGATAGATATAAGCTATATACCTACATCTATATAACCATAAATGCTATAGTTCCTGGAGAAAATACCAACATTATATATCTCATATTTCAAGTATATATTATTTTTCACTCTATTAGATTTATACAATTATGAACATATCAACAGGTAATTACAAAAAAGTAAGAATATATCACATAAAAAATAACATACTGACCTCCATGCACATTACAAATGTACTTAATGATAAGTTTTTATTTTAAAAGAGTGATTGTTACATACCATCAAGGCTGTAAGAATTTTCCCAGCAAAAGCAAACAGTAGTTGCTACATGCAAATTCTACAACACAAACAGTTCCTAACATCGTACAAAATGAAAATAACAATTCAACAGCTTTTACTACACAATATCTTGAACATACCTAAGCCAATAAACTATCCTATATATGGCCATGGATATACACTATCTATAGTCTTAAATACTCTGGATGCTTAGAAATATATTACACAAATCATTAGGGGTTAAATATCCTCACTGGAATATATGTAATTATACATTCGATGGTTAATGAGACTATACATATATGATATGACTGTAAACCCAAAATTTCCAAATAGCTTTAGACATCTTGGGCCAAAAAAACTCACTGGGCTGAACTGACTGACAATATAGACTCATTACTTCTATTCTTTTTGCTTAAAATCTACAACCGATGTGAATGAAGTTATTCATCGAGAAGCCTTGTCATCAAGGGCCTGATTTTGTATCTTCTTTCTCTGCTTTTTAATTTGTTCTTTAAGTGTACCAGCAAGTCCACCCGAGGCACCTGGGACCTCCATGTCTTCATCGTCTGATTCTGTAAAATATCATAGATTGACTTAAATGAAATATATATATAATATATCTTTATATTTGTGTATACACATTTTAAACACACATGATAATTTTCATGTAAAGATTTCTTGTGAAATATTGATGCATCTTTTCCATTCAATTGATTCATGGCAGCAAAGTGTTTATTAAGCATAAGATACAGTAAATATCTTTTTCACTCATACAACTTGAAAACTCACCTGAATCAGTTTGATAACCACTCTTATCATAGTCTCTAAGGAAGCTAAAGTCTTCTGTGATCGATTCTTTTGCGTCTGTCTTGTCAGCTTCAACTTTGTTCCTTCTCTGAGCGAGAATCTGCCTAAGTTCTGATGAGCGTGCAGTCTTGTACTGAAAGGCAAGAGTAGAAATGTTTAAAATGTTGGCTTTTTCAATACATTGACAATTTCTTCCAGTCTTCCTGATTTACATAATTTCTAAAGCCTTGTTTGCACTATAGGCAGTCTTGTTTGGATAAACATTTTTATCCTAATATTGAAATACCAATGTCCATTTTCATGGGTGGACACAAAACAAGCGTGCCCCATAGTGGTCATAGGCCACCATAAGGGATATGCATTAAGCAGGCAGTACTTTCATGGGGTCTACCATCATGTGCACATGGCTGCAGTATTAAAACAGATTCTGGCATAAAAAAAGTCAAATAAATGACAGGAAAATGAGATCTTACCCCTGTTATATTACGCTGTATAGTGATCTGAGAGTCTAACCGAATGCCCTCAGCCTTCCCGCAATGTATAATAAGTTGGTCCCTGTCCAGTGCAAACAGTTTCTCTCCATCAACACCCTCAAACTGTTTCCGAATTCTGTAAAAATTAAAATGAACACATTGCTATTAGGAGGATTATTTTTCATTATTTTCTCTACCTAGCAAAGAACATTTTAAAACATACATTGTCATATTACCTCAAGTGAGTATTTTTTTTTTTATATCAGAAAGAAAGAAAAAAAATAGAAATTAAGTGAACTTATAAAACATTTAAACACAAGTAAAATATTAGTGATGATGTAAATAATGTACCTTTTGGAGAAGCCCTTCATTTCAAGCCATTTTTGCACTTCCTGTGGGGTTGAAGTTTGGTATATGTAAACATCAGGTGTTTTCTGAATATCTAGATGTGGCCTCTGACGACGGAACGACTCTAGCACCAGCTTCAGTTCTTCGTTCATCATATCCACATTAGATTTAGCTGTAAATAATTCTGTCATCAGTCTCCAGTGTGTGTTGTCAATAGTATTAGTATTTCAATCAATTTCTTTGCCAATCTAATGGAAAATTTTTGCATATAATCAACAATAATGTACTTTATCTTTTTAAGATCTAAGATACAAAATATAGAACAAAAGTATTATATGAAGAAAAGGAAATTAATGATTTACTTACATATCTAAATCTTTACATTATAACTAATATATAAAAAAAAAAAAAAAAAAAAAAAAAAAAAAAAAAAAAAAAAAAAAAAAAAAAAAATATATATATATATATATATATATATATATATATATATATATATATATATATATATATATATAAATTACACAAAGGTGTCAAGAAACAATAGTTCATAAGCCTTTTATAACTATATGAAGCTGTTGCATTATATATACATTTTCATCTATGAGCAGTTATGACATCTGCATATCTTGATGTTCAATAATACTGTTGTAAATAACAGATATCAACAACAAAACAACAACAACCAAAACAAATTCAATACATACAAAGAACTTGTTTTGCCGTGTCCTAAAAAAGTTGAGTTGATAGAACAATTTCAAGAAATACCATAAAAATCGAGGCAGCACTTACTCGTAGCATACATCTGGTTTGCATTATTGGGTCTAGGCTTAGGAGTTCTCTTAGCCACTGAGTTACTTGGGGTAAAGTCTGGGGGTGGAGGGGGTGGGGGAGCAGGGATTGTACTGTTCTTCTTACGTGAACCTGCAGCATCTTCGTCACTCGATTCATTGGAGCCGTACCCTGTGAGAGAGGTATATTATAAGTCTGTTTTTTTTTTTTCAATGTCTTTTCTTTACTTGTGAGGCTTTAAAGCAGCATTTTTGGACAATGATTTTATTCTTAGAGTCAAAATTGGTTTATAAAATAAAAGAAAATGAAAAAAACACAATAGTGTACGAGAACTGAAGAATGATTCCAAAGAGAAAGGACAGGAAGCAGATAAATACCAACATTAAGCAGACATATAAAAGAAATTTTAAAAACTAAGGCATATGCAAGCAGAAATCAACAGGAAGTGAATCCAACTACAGTGTAGATACATCACTACACTGTAACTTCACCTAAAATAACACTTTTACAGGAAAATCCACATGAGAATTTTGCCATGAACTTTAGAAAGTAATTGGATACACAAGGAGCTGAGTACTCCAGAAACGGGTAGAAAGGGCTCCACTCACCTGGTGTGGGTCTTTTGTGGAACTCCTCACTTGAATCTGAGTCAAAATCTGCAGGGACTTTCGGTTGTTTGGAGGAGTTACGAAAGCCTACTTTGAGAAAGGGTTGAACAACTGGTTTACTGATATACTCTTTCCTTGTACAACAAATGAGCAAGCTGCCTAGAAGAATGCCATACATCATGACTATGTGTAACTCTAAACAACTTTGTCTCATGATTTTCTGAACTAATCAGATGCACCTCTATAATTTTCCATTAGTCCCCATTATTCATATATAAAAATAAGAAAGTTCTTGACATGTTGGTAACACTATTTACCACCATAGTTAAACAAAGAAATCCTAAAACCAATGAACTGGCTAAGTAATAACATTTTCAAACAATAAATATTAAAAACATATTCCCATGCCTTTTGGTGCTATCATTTAACCCACTAGCAAACTCGCAACCTTGGGAATGCTAAGTGTCACTTGCCCAAACATTCTCTTTACATTCTCTTCTGTTCCCTCTAATATGATTCTTACAAACCAGTCAGAAAAGAGGATTTATACGATAAGCAAAAACTTAACAGTGCTATACCCATATACCTTTGTTGTCAGTGTGCAGGTAAGGTGAGGATTCTAACCCACTGAATACAAATTAAGCTACTACAATAAGTTTATTCCACTGTAAATGACTACAGAAGTTTCAGTGTTGTAAGGGTGCAGGAAATTGTAGTACATTTGCCAAGAATGTTCTACTCTTCACTGGCCTGATAAAACTAGCTTTTATTTGTTTCCAGTCTAAATTATATACAATCCCCAATATGTTCACCAACATCATTCCCTCTCACTCGCATACTTACACTTTAAACTTAAACTTTCACACATATGAACACCCACATCCACACACACAACCACCCAGCAAACAAAAAGACACTCACACTGACTCACACATGCTCACACGCACATGCAATTGCTCTTACACACACTTATTAAAGCACCTGCAATTACACTCAGTACAAAATCATAAAATTAGAAGAGTTCTCTTTCCCCAGATGCAATCTATACCTAGACCATGCTACGAAAAACATTAACGAAAGTGATAAGGTGTCTCTTTATCTCTTGAGAACTTGATATAGGAATGAATTCTATCCGGGAAATCTCTCTAACAAAAATAGGCTGGGTAACTTATTCCATTCATCTCTATTTTTAAAACTATAACTCAGCAAGAACATACAGAAGAAAGGATTTAAACCACTAACAATAATACATGAAGAAATTACTTACCAAACAGATATGAGCCGCTGCAGGAAACTGGGTCTTGCTGTAACAAATGATCCTGCCCATTCCCTCCCACCCATCAACAGGAAACAAACGGAAAAACTGAACTGCCCGGAAGGCATTTTGTGCATGGGTGCAAAGTATGTTTTGGGCTCTGTTGACAATATGGCACAGATACTTAAGGAAAATTACAAAATACAAAATAAAGTACATATTTTCTCATTGGTTTATTCATCTTTATCTCGATATTACATTTTATATAATGTAAGATTCATTTGCCACAACCATCTACCATTTTACTGAAAAATAAGAATTCTTATGTTACAAATGTACATGAAATTCTTTACAAATGTCAGGAATCTGATTTCACAGTAAATCTTGTCAACTGATATTTTTGGTTTTCATACAGTAAAGGAAGAAAAAAAAGTCATAAAAGTTAAAATAAAAACTTAAGACATACAACCAATCTGATTGCGTGCATCCTAAGCACATAGTATGGTTTGCTCTTCAATAAAAAAGGAAATTGTATGAGATGAATGTCTTGTATTGTCACTGTCTCTTAAATTTAGCATGCTTCTGTCTGTTTTAATCTTATCTTCTCTATCTTATTCTCTTTTCTTAGCCCATCACTATTAAGATGACAGTATGTCCAAGGAGACCCGTCAAAATTTGGTCATGAGTCAGTATGGAGTTGTCGTCCCCATTATTGAAAACAGAAGGCAGTGGTGTCTATTTCATACGTAATGAGTTAGTCAGTTGAAGCCATGAAAGATGATAGGATGGCTTGATATGAGCCCTGGGTATGAGCTCCACATGAGTCATATTTAAGACCCAGAATGAGCCAAACCCAGAGCTAACCTCAGCCTATCTCATCATCACAGGAGTCAACAGAGCCGTCCACTAAAACCCTCCACCATGCATGCAATTAATGTCTCGTCCCAACCAGGTTACCTACAGCTTCAGGATTATGGCATCCCTAACTCTTTGAGAGAGAGAGAAAAAAAAAGGATAAAGCAGCTTATATTTACAAACCTATTCTTATACTTTTACAGAACTGCTCTACAGTTCGACACTAAAAATAATAATAATAATAAAAAAATGTAGAATGCCACAAATGAGCTCTCCAAAATGAACGGGAACCCATATTCTTCTGAAACTCTGACTGAAGCGTACATTACCTGGTGTCTAGTAGTCCACTCACCACTGGATGATGTAAGGCTCTAAAGTACAGAGCAAGGCTAGATTTCATAAGCTGTACAGTTAAAATCAGTCTTTGATTATCTTGTTCAGTTGCTAAACTTCATTATTACTGTGTATGTAATGTAAAGCCTACAAAAGCTAGTCTTGTCATGCTAAAGCAAAACTACGAAAAAAAAAAGAAATTAAAAGTTAAATACCAGAAAGAAACCTCAAGCAGAGAGAGTCCATAGTGCCGCAAGATGGGCCAGTACATAACAGTCTCACACAAGTCATCATTTTCTTGTTTCCAAAAGTTGGATATTTTCTTCAGCATCAAAGTATCAGAAAACACAAGGGAGTCACTTTATAATTCTTTATCATCTTACTTAACAAGGAAAGAGAAGTAGGGGATGAGGCTATTCTACGTATTTCTGAGACAACCATTAAAGGCAAGAAAACATAAACCAATATTTGGTAACTCTTCAAGAAATTTTCTGATACTGTACTGTCAGAAATGTCAAACTTACACAAGTCCACATGAGTAACATCATCAACCCACATATATCCTACAGCACTACAGTAACAGCAGACTTAAATACAGAATATGTATGTGAGCAGTGGCAGTCAGGCATTGGTGAGCAAATAAGGGATTTGCTGAACTCGGATAATGAACACAAAATTAGGTTATATATCATCTAAAACACTAAAGCATGGAATGTCTGCTTCACTACATACAATCATTCATTATTTAGTGAAGCTTTTTAAAATAAACTAATGAATTCTGTACACTCAGATTAAACAGCTATGGTGGTAATGTTAGTCTGGAGGGTCCACAGGCTAATGTACATATTAGAAAATATAAATTCATATATGATGATAGAATATAGCAGATAACAAATATACCACAGAAGACACAGTCTATACACAACTCATACTGTGTTGTGGCATAACTCAAGCAATAACAAACAATAAATCTATTTTCAACTAAGTTATTTACCTTGTACATTCCTTAAGGGGAAATTATTTCATTCACTCAAGCTAAACTTTAACTGTTACATTTCCAACTATAAGTAAAATGAATATAATGTTGAACTGTGCTCTCAATTACACTGATAGAACAAAGGTACACATAGACTTGTGAATGATTTAACTAGCAAAAGTGTTCCCTTCACATGGAATGGTTTTCCTAGTGACAATGGATAAAATAATTATCAGTATATATATTTTTTACAATCATTACCAGCTAAATCATACACTCCATAAGGTGAATACTAAATAACTGTAAGAAATTAAAAATCTGTCTCTTTAAAAACTGGATGAACATCAATAGCTATGCACATCAATAATAATTTAGTGTTCACCATGATAACATTTATAAGGAAAATATTACAAACAGAAAAGATTTCTAAATATAGCCTACGTACTTAAGCGTGTATAATCAATTAAGACGGTGCACAGTGGAGAAATGTCACGTACACATATACACCCACACGGAGACATTCACAATGCTCCCCCTTTCAGAGCTACCTACTGCTGGTTCACGATCTCCTGCAGTACCTTATGGCCTTAAAAATCTAGCATGACATGTGTTGTAGCACCTTCAGCTATCATTAGGAAGATCTCTTTACTCTACACACAACATTCAATACCAATTTTCGCTATACACTTGCAGATATCGAACATTCTCTGATTCAAAGTTGATTGTTAAATTATCCCTGCATGATTCCACTCATCAATCTTCCTATGTTTCCTATCACCCTATTGCAACCACCACAAGTGGAGGATTGGAACATCTTATAAGAGGTCGTGAACCACCAGTAACAGCACTACAGGTATCAGGCTGGGAACTAGAAATACCGAAATTCACCTTTCTTGCCCTTCCAGACGGGTGGCGGGGCACTGCGTTGAGCACCAGCACGGTAATCTTCCTTACTATCCTGTCGGTTGATTAATCGTTACTTTTTCTTCTCATCTATTTCCTTCTATCCAAAAGCAAGGAACAGATAACAAAATAACATATGGCAAGTAATCAACAAAAAATTATTCGACAATAATTCTCCTTACCTGGTCAGCAGCATATGGGGTCACTATTGTGTGTGGGACGTGAGCAACCTGTCCTCGTGCATTTATTGCCTTCCACCACTTGCGACTGTCATCCAGGACCTTGGTAAAAAGAAAAAAAAAAATTAAGATATTTGTTTACATAATGGTTCCTATATATCCATCAAATATAGCAAAAGAGCCTATATTCTCTGCAACAAATAACTACTCCTAAAAGTACTTACCTCCAAATATTCACCACGAACAACTGTGAGCTCTTTGTCGTTATTGGCGGTGCGTGGGTATGTCACCTGTACAATTTTTGCTCCGCGTGACTTGAGGTCGTTGAGCCACTGCCGCTGATGCTTCTCAAACGTAGGCTGATCCATGGAGTCTTGGGAGATGTCACTTTTCCCTGCTTGAGGATATTCTGAGGGAGGAGTCATTGACCGTGGCCTAGAAGATTAAATAACGTGTTAGATTTCAAACATGACTTTTAAAAAATAACAGAACCTCAGAACCATACATCATTTTTACCACTGTAAGCTTTACACATAATTAATAGCAGCTTCTTTAGCACTTACCTATCATGACCATAGTAACGACCTGGTGGTGGGGGGGATGCCTCCCGTCGGTCAGAGTCATAGAAGTCACTGCCGTACTCATCACTTCGCAGACGACCCTATTGCATTTATAAGCAAATTTTATTCTCATGAATCCGACTAGTACTACATGAAATCAGTTATCAAAATGGTTTATTATAATGACCAACTGCAGCATTATCAAAAATGAAAAAAAATATATAAAGTTTTGATAATATCCTCCCGAAACCTAAAGCTGTTATCAAAACTCACATGCAAAATTATATACTCTTAACAAACAATCTTTTAGTATGTGTGCTGCATTATAATACACACTGTAATATATAGTAAAATAGTAGAAATATGAAAAATAGTTTATCTGTTACAAGTGAGATGATTCCAGTTCCTATGTGGTCCTTACTTCATCCTACTTTACCTTCTAAAATAAAGGTTACAAGTTGCATACAAAACCAAAAAAAAGTGTATCAGAATATAGGTTCCAACCAAAACAACTAATATCTTCTTTGTTAGAAAATACTTTCTTACAAAATACTAACAGCTAAAGAGCAACGGATAATTTTCAAATCTACAAATGGTATTCCTTCCTTGCTCACTACTATCTAATAATCCTTATGGTAACCCTATAATGACAAATCAAAAATACTACCACTAATAAATAAATATATAAATCTATCTAATAACTATACAATTATTGTGTCTCTGTCAAGATAATTGCCTGTATAATGATTTCAAATTCACTGAAAATATCAACTCAACATCAGACCGAGATACATGTCATCGTTAATAAGATCATGATATAGACTTACACCTGCTTCCTTGTCCTTGCATGCAAACCACAGAAATACAGACAAAGCAGTATTTTGCACAAAATTTAGGAAATTTTCCCACATTATGAATGGAATCCAAATATATCCCTCCACAATATGCAAGAGAAGTAAAGTAACATCATGAAAAAAAAAACTTTGAATACTGAATAGAAGAAAAATACACTATCGTAAAGACAAATCATACCTCTCTGACCCTTTTGCCATCTGAAACCACCTCTGAGTGCCGTTCACTCTCTGAAAGTTCAGGTGCCCAGCCACTTGAAAATACTGTTTAGGAAAAAGAACACAAATTAATTAAATACTATCTTCTCTTTCATACACAGAGCAATTCTTACCTATCTTTTTTCAAGAAAGTACAAAAATTGTTACAAATGTAACAACTAAATACTTATTTATTCATCCAAAATATTAAGTATCTATTGTACAGGGAAGAAAAAAAAAATGTGTAGGAAACTAAGTTTATAAACATAACTCACCTGGCTGATAGGGTGGAACGTTGTACTTCCACATGCTACGAGGGACACACCAAGCCTCTCCCAGGTTCTGCCATAATTCTGTCTCTCGTGATGTGAGGCAGTTGGTGAGGAGGTCAATAGCATCAGCAGTCAACAGGGGAGACAGGACCTGAATGTTAAGTAACGATTGGATTATAAGTTACTTCTTTTCATCCTTCTACATTAAAGGTATATATCTAATTATTACTAAAAATATGAAATGGAATTTTCATATCTACCCATATTACAGTTCATCAATGTTTTCTACTTACAATAAGTCTTCAACAATTCTTGCAGCTTAGCAACATAATTACCTTAGCAGGCAGGTTTGGCCCATAGTTTGAGTCACGTGAAGCATCAACAATAAGTGCCAACGGAGTAAACAGGAAATGTACAAGTTCTGGGGCATTTGGGTCATGAATGTGGGACTTCAGCTTTGCCTGAGGAGAGACCAAGTTATACCATTTAGGTACAAACTAATATGTGCTAACATAGTATTTCCCATCTTGGAAAACTTTATCAGATAAAAAACTGTACCATATATTCTAATCAGTTATTCATTACTGATGCATTCCTTGACTGGAAAAGACAAAATTTCACAAGAAAAAAGTATCACTATCAAAATACATGGATATCCAAATATAACAAACTCACCAATAAGTTAAATGACAGCTTGAATTTTTGGAAGATATCAACAAACTCCCTCTCAGGAGGAGGCTTGGCGCGCATTGACAGCAGGCCGTCTCCAATGTCTTTCTTCTTGGATTTTCGGGACCTGGAATCCAATTTTCACATCATTTATCTGACCAAAGGCGCATGACGCAACAGTTCATTTGAAAAGAGAGAGTTAGAGGAATTCAAGTGCCTTTCACAACCATCAGATGAAATTCAAAGGCTTAAATTTCAAAGCACTTAATGAGACATGTCTACCAATACTAAAAAACTATATACTGCAATAATAAAGAATTATATAAATTGATCCTTGACCTAATCAACTGATCCCCAGCCCTTGGGCAATCCATCTATAAAATTTCCTTAGAGAAAGTCACAGCAAGCAAGAGATGAAAAAAATTTAAGCCCAATTACAAATCGTACGATTCTAACACAAAGAAAATTTATTTCCAATCTGTGATATAGTTATTTTTTATGAGTGTTCACTGTGGTGCAGAATCCTTTCATCCAATTACAGATCCAGATGCTGGTCAAGGTTAACATAGAAATTTAAACAACCGGTTTCTGGCCCTAAATAAAGCATCTATAAAAAGTCTTCACCATCTAATTGCAACTTTTTCCATAATCTTGCTGAAAGATCAATGAACAAAAGCAAAAACCAAACTTCCTTGACAGAGGTAAATGCCAATCAATACATGTAAAAAGAATAAAAAATGCTGCCAGGTACAGGTAATAACCTGATTCTCTCCCTCTCTCTCCCCCTTTTTCTCTCTCTCTCCTCTCCCTCTCTCCCCCTCTTTTCCTCTCTCCCTCTGTCCTCCCCTTTCTCTCACTCTCTCACTCTCTCACACTCTCACACTCTTACACTCTTACACTCTTACTATCACACTCACACACCCTCCCTTCCCCTTCTCTCTATTTCCCTCCCTTCCCCTTTCCCTTCTCCTCTTTCTCTCTCTCCCCCTCTCCCTTCCCTCTCTCTCCCTCTTTCTCTTCTTCCCTCCTCCCTCTTTCCCTTCTTCCCTCCCTCCCTCTTTCCCTTCTTCCCTCCTCCCTCTTTCCCTTCTTCCCTCCCTCCCTCCTTCCTTCTTCCTCCCTCCCTCTTTCCCTTCTCTCCCTCCCTCTTTCCTCTTCCCATCCCTCCCTCCCTCTTTCCCCTTCTTTCCCTCCCTTCCCTTCCCTTCCCTCTCCTTCTCCCTCCCTCCTCTTTCCCTTCATCTCCATCCCTTCCTCTCCTCCCTCTCCCTCCCTCCCTCCCTCCCTCCCTCCCTCCCTCTCCTCCCTCCCTCCTCCTCTTCCTTCTTCCCTCCCTCTCTCCTTCACTCTACCCTCCCTCCCTCCTTCCCTTCTACCCTTCTCCTCCCTCCCTCTCTCTTTTTTCCCTCCTCCTCCTCCTTCCCTCCCTCTCTTTCTCCCTCTCCCTCCTCCTCCTCTCTTTCTCCCTCTCCCTCCTTCTCTCTCTTCCCTCCCTTCCCTCCTCTCCTCCTTCCCTCCTCTCTCTCTCTCCCCTCTCCCTCCTTCCCTCCCCTCCCTCTCTCTCTCTCTCTCCCTCTCCCTCCTCCTCCCTCCCTTTCTCTCCCTCCCTCTCCTCCCTTCCCTCCCTCCCTCCCTCTCTCTCCCTCTCCCTCCTTCCCTCCCTCTCTCTCTCCATCCCCTCCTTCCCTCCCTCTCCTCTCCCCCTCTCCTCCTTCTCCTCTCTCTCTCCTCTCCCTCCCTCCCTCCCCTCTCCCTCCCCCTCCCTTTCTCTCTCCTTTCAGATGGAGACCAGGTCGGGCATGAAGAAGAAAAAAAAGTGTTTTTCACCAAAAAAACATCTAAAAGCCGATAAATCCCCGAATTACATCACTCCATTGACCAGATATCAATGCATTTATCAATGCATTACCCCCTTACCCCCCTCCTACCCTCCTCTTTCCTCCCACCTCCCACCTCCCTCCTACCCTCCTCCCTTTACTCCCACTTCCCACCTCCCCACCTTCCCCCCTACCCCTCCCTTTTCTCCCACCTCCCTCCTACACCCTTCCCTCCTCCCTTTCCTCCCACCTCCCTCCTCCTCCCCTCCTCCCTCCTCCCTCCTACCCCTTCCCTCCTCCTCCTCCTCCTCCTCCTACCCTCCTACTCCCTTTCCTCCCTTTCCTCCCACCTTCCCCCCTACCCCCTCCTACCCCCCTCCCTTACCCTCCTCCTCCTCCTCCTCCTCCCTACCCCCTCCTCCTCCTCCTCCTTACCTCCTCCTCCGCTCGAGCTCCCTGGTGGCGGCGGCCGTGTGCTGGAGCCTAGCCCTACCCCCTCCTACCCCCTTCCCTACCCCCCCTCCTCCTTCCTACCCCTCCTACCTCCACCTTACCTCCTCCTCCGCTCGAGCTCCCTGGTGGCGGCGGCCGTGTGCTGGAACCCCCTCCCCCCCTTCCTACCCCCTCCTCCTCCTCCTCCTCCTTACCTCTCCTCCGCTCGAGCTCCCTGGTGGCGGCGGCCGTGTGCTGGAGCCGGGCGATGAACCGCTCGATGTCGTCGAAGCAGGAGTTGAGGATGGCCACGTCCCGCTCGTACTTCTCGCTGCTGGTGCTCGAGACGTCGTCGTTGTGGCTGACGCTCGACCTCTCGGACCGCGGACCTCGAGCCTCGCCGCGCACTTCGCTGTCCGCTGCGGGGGGAGGGGGGGAGAGAGAGAGGGGGGTTAGGTTGGGAAATTAACGTTGGAAGATGGAAAATATGATGAAGATGAGAAGAAGGAAAAGGCGGTCGACAAACGGAAATTAACACTGGAAGAAAGAAAATATGATGATAATGAGAAGAAGGAAAAGGCGGTCGATCTAGGTTGGGAAATTAACGCTGGAAGATGGAAAATATGATGAAGATGAGAAGAAGGAAAAGGCGGTCGACAAACGGAAATTAACAGTGGAAGAAGGAAAATATGATGAAGATGAGAAGAAGGAAAAGGCGGTCGACATGCGGAAATTAACACTGGAAGAAGGAAAATATGATGAAGATGAGAAGAAGGAAAAGGCGGTCGATCTAGGTTGGGAAATTAACGCTGGAAGGAAAATATGATGATGAAGATAGAAGAAGGAAAGGCGGTCGACAAACGGAAATTAAACGCTGGAAAAATTGATAGATGAGAAGGAAAAGGCGGTCGACAAACGGAAATTAACGCTGGAAGAAGGAAAATATGATGAAGAAGATGAGAAGAAGGAAAAGGCGGTCGACAAACGATGGAAGAAGGAAAATATGATGAAGAAGATGAGAAGAAGGAAAAGGCGGTCGACAAACGGAAATTAACAGTGGAAGAAGGAAAATTTGATGATAATGAGAAGGAAAAGGCGGTCGACATGCGGAAATTAACACTGGAAGAAGGAAAATATGATGAAGATGAGAAGAAGGAAAAGGCGGTCGATCTAGGTTGGGAAATTAACGCTGGAAGGAAAATATGATGATGAAGATGAGAAGAAGGAAAAGGCGGTCGACAAACGGAAATCAACACTGGAAGAAGGAAAATATGATGAAGATGAGAAGAAGGAAAGGGCGGTCGACATACGGAAATTAACAGTGGAAGAAGGAAAATATGATGAAGATGATGAGAAGAAAAGGAAAAGGCGGTCAACATACGGAAATGAACACTGGAAGAAGGAAAACATGATGAAGACGAAGGAAAGAGAATTGAAGACAGGAGAATCAGAACACCGGATGTACACATGGCAATAAAAGATTTATAAACGAAAGAGAAAAAATGAAAATAAAACCCTATTGTACAAAAATAAATAAACAAATAAAACAAAGTAATAATAATATAATAATAATAATAATAATAATAATAATAATAATAATAATAATGAACGAAGCATAAACAAAAATAACCGTCATACCTGACCTGACCATCCAAACAGACTGAACCAATATCACTTGTTTACCCGCGGGTTACCTACCTATTTGCATTCTAATTACCACGACATATCGCTTCATCTCCTTACCGCTTTCTTCTCCTACCTCCCACAATCATTCATGTATTTCCTTTCCCACGTGCGTCCTCCACCGTCCTTCTCCCCTTCCTCCCCTTCTTCCTCCTTCTTCCCCCTCCTTCCTCCTTTCCCTTCCCTTCTCCCCTTCTTCCTCTTCTCCCTCTTCTCCCCTCTCCTCTTCCCTCCCCTCCCCACCCCCTTCTCCGACCCAGCACACCCCCAATGGCGTAAGAAGAACGCCACTATTTATTTTCTATTTATTTTCTCATGGTCATCCGCGGGCGAGTGAGACGCACAAACAGCTGATCTGCGAGACGGCAACACCGTGCCCTCCTAACCTATCTCATTACCTTTTTTTATGTTTGTTTTATTCTTTTTTGTTATTTTGTTTGTTTGCTTGTTATTTTTTTGTTGTTGGCCAGGTCTCTTCACATCCATATTCATTAACGTCTCCCGGAGATGCCGCAGGAATTCTTTTCTTTATATTTTGTGGTTTCTTTACATCCCTGTTTCTGTAAACTTGCAACAGAAGTCGTTCTCGAGAAAAAAAAATAGTTTGTCCTAAATTTGAAATAGAAAATGTGGTTCACGACATCACCTGTGGGAGTCAAAGCCTAAAATTAATAAAAAAAAAGAGAGAAAAAAAAGGAAAATTCTTAAGACTGCCTTTTCACTTTAATCATAGGTTCCATGCCCTTCCTAGATTTATTTAATGGTCCTCCTGTCACTTCTTTTCAAGTGTCCCATCATCCATAAACTTTATTTACAGTTAGTTTGGAACAGAAGGAAATAATATCAAAATAATAAGAAACTTTTACACAGAAATACCAGAATACTGAACACTTCAAACAGCATCACGTTTTTTTCTCTCTTTTCATTAACACCAACTATAGTACCGTAACAAAATGTACTTCCTGGTGTGCCCGTCTAGCAGCGAGTAACCTTAAACTCTTCCAGTCCCTTCCCATCTCAAGAAAAAGTCCCCTTTAAATGTTAGAAGTGAATTAAATCGTCTTTTATGCGGTATCTTCCCTATGAAAAAAAATCCTCTTTCAATGTTTAAGGTATATAACAAATTATTTTTCGTATAGGTTTCTCCCTATGAAAAAGAAACCCCTTTCGATGTTAAAAGTTAATTAAATTGTTTTAACACAATACCTTCTCTACGAAAAAGTCCTCTGAAAATAGAAGTAAACCAAATTTTCTTTTACACTGAAACCTGCTCAGAAAAGCCTCCCCCCCCTCGAATAAAGGTATACCGAAGTATTTTTTTTTTACACCGTATCCTCCTCCGTCTGAAAAAGCCCCCCCCCCTTACACGTGATAAAAGTAAACCAATTTCTTTTACCGTGAACCTGCCTCAGAAAAGCCCCCCACTCAAATAAAGGTAAGAAGTATTTTACACGTATCCTCCCTCCTTCTGAAAAGCCCCCCCCCTTACACGTGATAAAGTAAACCAAATTTCTTAAGCGAACCCTGTCTCAGAAAAAAGCCCTCCTCAAATAAAGCGAAGAATCTTTCACGCCGTATCCTCCCTCCCTCTGAAAAAAAGGCCTCTTCAACACGTGATAAAAGTAAACCGAATTTCTTTCACACTGCCTCAGAAAAGTCCCTTCTCAAGCACTTTCCCCCTCACAAGTACAGTCCAAGAACACAATCAACGCTTCTACAACCTTCTACAACCGCCTCCCCCTTTTATCCAACCCATTCTTATCCACAGACAACTCCTCCACCTCCTCTCTTTCTTTCTTTCTTTCTCTTTCTTTCTCTCTTCATTTGTGAAAAGAGACTTTCACAAACAGGAACTACTGACGACCACCCTTCGCTAGGCCTGTTCTCATGGCTTCTGTGAATGCCCGCTGGATCTTAAGAAAAAAAAATAAAGACTTTAATTCTACTTTCTACTGAACATCTACTTTCTCGCTGCCGCCAGTCTTCACCAATCGGAACACCTCCTCTTTCATCGAAGCCAATCCTACGCTCTGTTAACTAGAAGACGAGGGCGTTTAACAAGAAAGTCGGGTCCTTACCTGAGCGGAGGTAATGGTAAATACAATAAAGGAAAACACCATCAACCACAAACCGAAAAAAAAAACGATATATCTAATAATGATTTCGATCCAGCATCAAATATCTATAAAAAAAAAAAAACAACAACAACAACATCATAATAACAGTCACAGCTGACCTACATTCCATAGGCACTCAACACCTAACCTGCTCTTTACCAACACCGCCTCAACTCTCGAAGAAAAATACAACCAATACAAACCTCCTCCGTATTTCAATCCATTTTTATCCCATGAACAAACTGTACATTGGGCTTATCAGTAACACGCATTACATTTCCCAAAGGCTACATGTCCCTCCTTCGGGCACGACAAAGGGAAGAAAAAGAGAGGACTGGCATTTGGCACAAACTCACGCTTGACAGTTATATCGAGGACAACAAGGTAAGCTCGGGCTTGTTACTGTTACTCGAAATCTGAAGAAAAAAGGAGACAAGCTTCTCTAAAATTTCCCCTGCTCTCTCTCTTTCTTTCTGTCTTTCTCTCATCTTCCTCTCTTACGCTCTTTCCCTCTCTGCTCTCCTCTTCTCTCTCTCTCTCTCTCTCTGCTCTCTCTCTCTCTCTCTCTCTCTCTCTCTCTCTCTCTCTCTCTCTCGTCTCTCTCTCTCTCTCTCTCTCTCTTCTCTCTCTCTCTCTTATGCTCGCTCCTCCTTCCTCTACCTCTCCATCACCTTCTCTCTCCCCCCTCTTGCTCCTTCTCTTTCCTGTCCCTCTTTCTCTCTCTCTATCATCCCTCTCTCTTCCTCTTAATCCTCACTCTTCTTTACCTCTCATCATCTCCCTCTCTCTCCCTTCCTCTCCTCTCCCTTCTTAATTTCATATTCTCCCTCTCTCTTCTCTCCCTTCTTACCTTTCTATTCTCCTTCTCCCTTCTTACCTCTCATCATTCCCTCTCTCTGCTCTCTCCCTCTCTCCTTCCTCATCTTACCTCTCATCATCTCCGTCCTCATCATGCGCTGGTAGGCGAGGCGCGCCCGCTCCACCGCCCGCGACCCCTCCATGGCGGTGGCAGCGGCCGGGGGGGCGCCCGTGTGTACCATGCCGACTCTTCTCCTCCTCCTCCTCCTCCTTTATTCTAATATTCCACCTCCTTTTTTTCTCTCTTCTTCTTTTTTTTTTTTTTTTCACTTGTTCTCCTTTTCCTTTTTTCTTATTTTCCTCTTCCTTCCCCTCTTTTCTATTCTTCCTCCCCCTTCTTTTTTCTTTCTCTATTCTTCCTCGTTCTATTTACTCATAAACGCCAAGCACACAATTTCCTCCCCTTTTGTGTTTTCTTTTAATTCCTCCTTCTGTTCTATGTCACTTATTACTTCGTTTCAGTCACATGCTCCTCTTATTCCATCCATAAATACTTTCCTGTAAACACCAATTTTTTTTTTTAATTCTTCATATCGTTTTCACCGATTTTAGTTTTAAGTTCACCGCCAGAATTTGATTGAAAAAAACAAAACATACGAGACACAGACAACACAAAAACAACAATTATTTAACTCGGTTTAACGCAAAATAAATCGTTTCCTTCTCTTTTCATTCGTCTTTTTCTTTCCATTCTCATGCCTTTCTCTTTCTCATTCCTTTTCTCCATTATCATCTTCTTCTCTTTCTCTTTCTCATTTTTTTCTCAATTTGCCTTTTCCATCCACCTTCTCCTTCTCCTCCACCACACACCTCCACCCCACCCCACCCCACCCCACCCTCCCACCCCCACCCCCTCCACCCCATCCACCCCACCCACACCCCCCACTCCATCCCCCTTACCCCCACCCGCCCTTACCCACAGAAACCAGCCTCTCTCCCCACACGCCCCAATTCCGCCCGCCCGCGTGTGACATACCCGACTTCACCCGACAACCCGACCTTGCAAACTGGGGCAGAATCACTGACGCATTTCCGTCCGTGAGCTGTATCCGTGCGTGTGTGTTGTGTGGCGTGTGTGTGTGTGTGTGTGTGTGTGTGTGTGTGTGTGTGTGTGTGTGTGTGTGTGTGTGTGTGTGTGTGTGTGTGTGTGTGTGTGTGTGTGTGTGTGTGGTGAGAGAGAGAGAGAGAGAGAGAAGAGAGAGAGAGAGAGAGAGAGAGAGAGAGAGAGAGAGAGAGAGAGAGAGAGAGAGAGAGAGACAGAGAGAGAGAGGAGAGAGAGAGAGAGAGAGAGAGAGAGAGAGAGAGAGAGAGAGAGAGAGAGAGAGAGAGAGAGAGAGAGAGAGAGAGAGAGAGAGAGAGAGAGACAGAGAGAGAGAGAGAGAGAGAGAGAGAAGGAGAGAGAGAGAGAGAGAGAGAGAGAGAGAGAGAGAGAGAGAGAGAGAGAGAGAGAGAGAGAGAGAGAGAGAGAGAGAGAGAGAGAGAGAGAGAGAGAGAGAGAGAAGAAGCGAGAGAGAGGAGAGAGAGAGAGAGAGAGAGAGAGAGAGAGAGAGAGAGAGAGGAGAGAGAGAGAGAGAGAGAGAGAGAGAGAGAAGAGAGAGAGAGAGAGAGAGAGAGAGAGAGAGAGAGATGAGAGAGAGAGGAGAGAGAGAGAGAGAGAGAGAGAGAGAGAGGGGGGGGGGGTGCGTATGGTATGAAAATGTGGTATACATGCGGTATAAATACTAGTTGTTGTTTTTTAGAGGGGAAAGTAATAAACTAATTGTGTATGTATTATGCGGTTATACGTAATGGTATATAAGTGTAGTGTCTTTAATGAGGGAATAACATGCTACGCGTCTCATCGTTATAAATATAAAAATAAACCTTTGCCACATCTAAAAGCAAACTATTAAACTAAGACAAAAGAACTTATGCCATCATAAACTACTGCCAACGTCGATACCCCTCCTGTCAATTCACTTTAAAAAAAAGACATTTTAAACAGAACGGCAAAGCACACACACACAATAATAATAAAAAATAAAAAAAAATCAATAAACAAAAAAGACATTTTTAAAGAGAACGGCAAAGCACACACACAATAACAATAAAAAAATAAAATAAAAAAAAACTAGTTTACGCTTACATGCTGCACGATTCGACCGTGTGAACTTTCCCTGATCAACTTTTGAACTTTAAAGGTCCTTTGAGGTACTTTCCGGGAGGGAGGGGGGGAGGGAGGGGAGGGGAGGGGAGGGGAGGGAGGAGGAGGGGAGGGGGGAGGAGGGAGGGGAGGGGAGGGAGGGGAGGGGAGGGAGGGGAAGGGGAGGGAGGGGAGGGGAGGGGGGGAGGGAGAAGAGGACGGAAGGGGGGGGATAACGCAAGGTGGAAAGTAAAAGGCAAAATGCTGATGATGGTATAAATAGATGATTTCCAGGATTATAGCAAAGGCTGGCAAGGCTTCTGATACTGACGAAGGCGAAAAAGGCCGATGAATGGGGGGAAGAGACATAACAGGTAAAGAAAAATCATAATAAAGATATCGAAGACGATAATGGTGTTTTGGTGAACGACTGAGGTGATTACAGGTAAGAGGAAGACAATATACTCGTTCCACGCACCTGAAACTTCCTCTCTACCCCCTCCTCCCCCTCCCTTGGTCCGGCCTCAGGCACAATACGTGTACAGAGACAGAGGTAGACACAGACAGACAGACAGAAAGACACAGAGGGAAGACACAGACAGAGGAAGACAGACAGAGGTAGAGACACAGAGGTTGACAGAGGAGACACAGACAGAGGAAGACACAGACAGGAGGGAACACAAGAGGTAGACACACAGACAGAGGAAGACACAGGAAGACAGAGGTAGACACAGACAGAGGTGACACAGACAGAGACACAGACCGAGGAAGACACATACAGAGGAAGACACAGACAGAGGAAGACACAGACAGAGGGAGACACAGACAGAGGAAGACACAGACACAACACTAACAGGTAAATATAAAACTAATAAAAAAACACACACACACACTTACTAACATACACACACGCGCGCTTGCTTGCATGGTCTGTGCGCTATTCCTGCAAATCATAAAGGCGTTTTTGCTGCTCTAAATGACATTTGGCTCGCAGTATTTTACGTCTCTCTGTCTGTCTGTTTGTCTTCTGTGTCTGTTAGTCTGTCTGTCAGGGTTTCTATCTGCCTCTCTTTCTCTCTCTCTCTCTCTTACAGTTACAATTACGCTTACGCACACACCCGCACACATACACACATGTAAACAGTCCTCTCACGACCAGGACATGACAAAAACAAGATGAAAACAACAATTAAAGCCACCATTCCCCCCTTTCCCCCCCTCTCCTCACCTTCCCCACCTCCCTTCCTCACCTCCCCCCTCCCCTTTCTCCCTCCCCTTCCCCTCCTCTTTCTTCCCCCTCCTCCTACTCCATTACCTCCCTACTCCCTTCCTACCTCCCTTACCCCTTCCCTCCCCCCTTAAGACCATAAAACAGGTGGGCGGGGATTATGCAAAAACGCCCAGCCGCACGTAGCCACAATCAGCCCAGGGGCTGGGTCGGTCGGGGCGGCGGAGGGGAGGAGAGGAGGGGAGGGGTAGGGGGAGGGAGGGGAGGGGAGGGGAGGGGAGGGGAGGGGAGAGGATGAAGGAAGAGGAAGGGGAGAGAATGAGAGAAGAAGGAAGGGGAGAGGGGGAAGGGGAAGAAGGAGGAGAAGGAGGAGAGGTAGGGAGGGAATGGGGGAAGAGGAGGGGGGAAGGGGAAGAATGAAGAGGTAGGGGAGAGAATGGAGGAAGAGGTGGGGGAGACATGGGAAGGGAAAGAGGAATAGAAAGAGGAAGGGGAAGGGGAAAAAAGAGAAGGAGAAGGAGAAGGGGATCGGGAGAGGAAGGGGAGAGAATGGGGAAGGGGAAGGGGAGCATAAAGTAAGAAGCGGAAAAGGAGGAAGAGGAGGTATGGATGCGGAAAAGGAAGAGGTGGAGGACGAAAAGGGGAGAACAAGAATAAGAACACGAATGAGACCAACAAGAATAATGATAATGATAATAACAACAAAAAGAGCAATAATGACCATAAGAAAATAAGGATAAGGGTGTGGATGATAAGGAAGAGGGAATACAGGAGGAACAGATGGAAATGAGAGTGAGGGAACGGGAGACCAAAGAAGGAAAGGAAAGGAGACGCAAGGAAGGAGGGAAGAAGAGAAGAGAAAAAAAAGAGAAGAGAAGAGAGAAAAAGCTAGAAGAGAAGAGTAGAGGGGAAAGAAGAGATGGGAAGAGAAGTAGAGAAAGAAGAGAAGAGAAAAGGAGAAAAGAGAGAGGAGAAAGAGAGAAAAGAAGAGAAGAGAGGAAAGAAGAGATGGGAAGAGAAGAGGAGATAGAAAAAGATACAAAAGAAGAGAAGAGAAGAAAGAAGAGATGGGAAGAGAAGAAAAGAGAAGAGAAAAAAAGAGAAAAGAAGAGAAAAGAAAAGAGGAGCGAAGAAAGAAGAGAAGGGAAGAGAAGAGAAGAAGAGAAATGAGTGGAAAGCAATGGGCTCTTGATAGCGCTCGGCTCACATCGTAACATGTAAAGACAGACAGACAGACATACACAAACTCAGCTGTGCGAAAAGTGGGAGCAGAGTGAAAGAGAAAAAACAGCATAACAAAATAAAACAAAATAAAACGAAATGGAGTTCGCGTTAAAAAGCAGCACACTCGCCCTTATATAAGACAAAAATCTCTTTCCAAACAGACACAGACACCCAGACACAAAAAAATAGACACATGCAGAAAGACAAACAGACTGATAAACACATACAAAAACAAACACACACACACTCGCCTTCCAAAAAAAACATCCAAAGCAAAAACAAAAACAATAAACACACTCGCTTTCCAAATAAACATTAAAACAAAACAAAACACACAAACACTCTCTCGCCTTCAAAATAAACCTTCCAAAACAAAAACAAAAACAAACAAACACACTCTCGCTTTCTAAAACAAAACAAACAACCACTCGCGCCTTCCAAATAACCTCCATAAAACAAAACAAAAAAAACAAACAAACACAAAAATGCGCAATAGGCCTACACGCCCCGCCGCGCCGACCTCCGCCGTGCTTCTGCAGCCGCGTGACCCCTGACCCCGGCGTGACACCCGCGATCGGCGTCACGGCAAATGAAGCTCAACTTCCGGTGGATATGATATAGAGTGGGGGAGGGGGGAGGGAGAGGGATGGAGGGGGAGGGAGGGAG